AGTGAGAGGCAGTTGGGGATGGGAATAATTGCAAAACGAGTCAAGCATGCACGAATGAAGCAGACTGTTTTTTTTTTTTTTTTTTTTTGCAGAGAAAGACTCCAAATTTATCATTAACTTACTATTTCAGATAACACTCACGCAAATTTACAGACATTCAGTTACCCAAAAAAAACCCCCCTATATATAAACCTCTCTCTCTCTCTCTCTCTCTCTCTGTCCAGATCTTTTGCGCAAAAAAAAAAAAAAAAAAAAAAAAAAAAAAAAAAAAAAAAAATAAAAAAAAAAAAAACAATTTAGTACCTTTAAGTGGAAGAAGGAATTTTTTTCTTTTTTCTTTTTTTTTTTCGGCTAACGGATGTCAATTAAAAGAAAAGAAATTGGGGTGTCATTAAAAGGAGCTAAAATTATAAGGAATAAGAAGAGGTTACACATGATATTTAACGTGTATGACAAAGGTTACATAGATTGTGTTTGTTTTTATGCTAAGAAAGATTGCTGATTTCGACCATATTATAAAAATAGTAGTATCTACATATAGTATAGTACTTTTCACCCAATTATCTCTTAATAGCCTCATTCTAGCTCTCATTAGTTTAACATGTGGAAACCTCAGTTATCAGAAAATTTTAACATATATTCATAAAAAAGTAAAGCTAAAACCTTACTAATTAATTAGCGTATTTGATAATCGTTTTCTCATAGTACGTCGATCAATATCCAGAAATTATTGAAAAAAATCTCTTATTTTGTGCTTTCCATAATTTTTTTTTCTCTATGTGCTAAAGGATTTTAGTTTTATTACTTTTACTAACACCATAGCTATCCATATGATAAGTATTAATTAATATGATCACTAATTAAGTTGACTTATATTTATACTCTTCTCTTTCATTTAAAAAGAAAGAAGTTGAGCTTTATTTAGGCCTCATAATTTCTCTTTTCTCATCAAATATTTATTATATATGTTCCCAATACAAGTTATCATTATCTGATAAATAATTAATTGAAAAGGAGATGCTGTGTCATCCTTATGAGCTTCATATTTTACTCATCAATTGTTGAAGGATACCATCTGAAATTTACTTTTTTTATTGGAATTTTCCTCTTAAAAAAATCAAGTTAAGCATAAGTTTTAAGCAAAATAGCTATTTTGTGAAGCACAAAATGTAGTTGCAGCCTGCAAATATAATAGCAATTTCATTCAATTGAAATAAATACAATATAAATCTTCTACAAATACCAAGATTGATATAACAAATGATTCAAAATCTTAAATGAAAGAATCAAACCAATATTGTTTCTAGGCCATATTTTCATACACTCTT